ATAGTACACGTGCGTGCCGATGATATGTCAACACCCGATATCGAGATTTTACCGGGAAATGTATAATCACACGTACTTCAGGAATAAAGCTTTCAAATTCATAGACATAAACAGACTCACGGGAAGACAGTGACATGAGACCAAACGACCTCAAGAAGGTTATATAGGAAACGCATGGAATGCGGCGTACCAACCTCACATGTGCAACACGAGTTCATAAGCTCGAGGTCGTTACGATTTTCGCTGTTGAGGGAGTTTCGCTCTGTCGATTAAATCATGTTAACAAATGTAGTCTACTTACTCTGTGAAAATAATGTTGTAAAATATCAAGATACCTATGAAATGCATGTGTGAGTGCACGTGAGAACGGCATACCATGCGATAAGTATAGATATACCGTGAGTTAGCGGACTGTGGAATGATGTCCGAAGTGTACATGACTGAGGGTAATTTGGTTCCATTAAAGAACAATAAATTGATAATTTTGATATCATATTTTTGATTTATTTCCATCATTTTTGTTATAACTGTCATTGTGTAAATGTCACCCCTTTGCAAAAAGTTCCGATTTTTTTCAAGGAAGATACCTCTCACCCGGATCGAAGTGATTGTAAAATGTAAAATAAATTAATTATAAAGCCATTGTGTATATTTTGTTCAATTTGCCATTCTGTATGTATAGATCTTTGTGCCCTGTTTGCTTTTAGCTTGTAGATAATCAATTTTATCCGTACAAATTCAATAAAAATCAGTTTTGTTACATATTTTGCGATAAATAAAATATTTGTAGGGTTAATTAGAAATGCTTCTTTTCATTTTATTATTGTTGTTATTGTTCCGAACAATATCATCAATTTATTTTGCAAAATGGCTCGTCTCATATCATTTTGAAAGTTAAATATTTTTATCACATGCCTGTTGAATCTTGTTATAGTAATACAAGCAATTTTCAGGCCATGACATACAACGTTCTGTATTACACATATGCAATACGGAATGTTGTATTTACCTACTAGCCGGAACTACTTTTTATGTGAATCCCCTTTTCATGCATGGCGAACTGAAAAGTTCCCGGTATTTGCAAAAAATATCAAAGTTTATAAAATCTTTGTATCGATCTCTACCAAATACGGAAGGTATGTGATAAAAGCAAGACCACACACATGCGTTTTTCTAACGAATCAGGAAGCACTCATTTATTGCGCGGACGTATATATTCCCTCGTGCTCCGCGCACTCGTGAATATATTCGTCCGCGCAATAAACTCGTGCTTTCTGATTCGTTAGAAAAACACAAGTGTGTTGTCTTGCATTTTTACCAAGCCATGTTATTACAAATAAATACGAACTATTTGATCTGATTAAAGAGTCAATCCACAGCAAAGGGAGATAATCTAGTGAGTCCTCGTTTACGACCTACTTGAAGTGTCGTGTGACTAATATCACTAGCGATATACAATTTATGTTCTTTATTCTAGTTCTTGACGCTTTCGGGAAAATACCGCCCGGATTACTGAGCGGGAATATGTACTTTCTCGGTTCCTACGATGAATGTCTGGAAATAAGGTACGACAACTCTTCCGACCCAGATAACGTGTTCAGGGGGCAGCACTGTACTGCGTGGATTCCGATTCAGACACAACAACCCGTATGTATATTTTGGTTCCTACAATGTATCTAGCTTGAATATGATCCATAAAAAATAATGAAAAAAGCGGGGGATGTTAAATGCCTAGAACTTATGAGAGGTTCCGAAACGAAAATGATTGGTTTACATATTTATCAAAGACGAGTTGCTTAATTTTGTTTTGTAAGTAAAGAACCGTTTATTTATGCTACAATTTGAAACAATCATGTTAACTTATATTATTCACACATTTTTTTAATGTGTGTGTGTGTGTGTGTGTGGGGGGGGGGGATTCGGAAACAAAAGGCTTGGGTAGCTGAACACAGACCGTCTTGGTCAAGGCGAATGCACCATCTATTGCGTCACACGACCATTCGATTTTAAAAGTGGATAAAGAAACGAGATTTGCCGAGTGTGTTTGTAAGATTTGATAATCAATTGATAAAGATTCCCAATCAATTGACGGAGTTATATAATATTATCAAGTGTTATCAGCTTGTTAAATTTTAAATTTCAAAAAGACAAAAGTGTTGTTTTAAAATTTTAAAATTCAATAATGACAATTGGGAAATTATAGATAGAAGGTTAGAACGCCAATTATTCCAGCTTTGATAAGGTGGTCATGGACGCTGCTATGAGGCACTCTGCTTAGATAATGACCCTGAAAATAGCTTATAACTAAGGATTTCTGGAATTTTCGTTAGAGGTGCAATAGGGAATAGTGTTTACAAGTGGGATACTGCTTATGTTCCAGTAAAACTTCGATATAATGCCCCTCATTCCATTCGCCACCTAGTTTACCGCCAGCATATTTCCATGCCCCTTTATTCGTTTTCATAAGAATTCCTTTATACATTTCCCTCAATTTATTGCAAAGTTTTTTATAACGCTAAATTCCGTTTGACACATGGTGGCAGTATAATGGGGTTTTACCGCATACATGTATCAACAACTTCATTGTCTACTGTCGTTACCAGTACGTGTGCTATACAGTATCAGAGTTGTACATACATTATATTCCGTCTTTGCGTATTGCAGAGTTATCTTCTCTTGGGAGCAGGTATTGATTGTTATGTCACTTGTTTGTGAGAGTAACGTCATCATTTTTTGAGAAAACGACGTAATTTCCTCGCACAAACCAATGACGTAACAATCAATACCTGCTCCCAAGATAAGATAACTCTGCAATACGCAAAGACGGAATAATTCGTACATAATAACATAAACAAAACTATTTTGTTCAGAATAAAACAAATTTTTCCATTCCTCCTCAGCCATCTCTATATGGATACCCCTCCTTCACGGTAGGCATGTGCTTTCCCAGTACTTGTTCCGCGTATGACGTCATGGCATATTTAAACACAGGTAATTTTTATAGCAGATATCTTTTAACGATTCACGCTGAAAGACACAAACGACATTGCTAAAAATAAGCCTAAAAGAGACATATAGATTCACAACACTTGATATATGTTTGATGTTTTCATTTCATATCTTGTCTTTTAAACATGTTTGTTTTTTTATTTTTTTATATCGAAAATCAAAATTCAAAGTTTATTTGGATACAATCGTCTCAAAACAGTAAGATCAATGACTATAACAATAGATCATTGTTTTATAGCCTTATCACAATTACCGACCGGAAACGGAAGTCTGCCTTTGTTTGCCTACGTTCAAGAATGTCACGTGGAGGGAGAAGTTTTCGATTACGACGCTAAGGCTATTGGCGCATTGTAAGTTGCTACAGCTGTATATCAAAGTTTTATATTCCGTTGTTCGTATCACTTATAAACAAAAAGAAAACAAATACAAAATGTAAGACTGTCGTATTTGCCGTATAAAAATAATTAAAAAAAACCCACTATTTGTCGGCATCTTACTCTTTCGCTCCCTATGTCTCTAACATCCGCTCTCCAATCTACTGAGCCACTTACAACGGAAACCTTGTCATTTTGTCATATTATTGTAAAGATAATGGATATATCATTATTGAAATATCATAGTAAAGGTAATGGATATATCATAATTAATATATTATAGTAAAGGTAATGGATATATCATAACTGATATATTATAGTAACGGTAATGGATATATCATAATTGATATATCATAGTAAAGGTAATGGATATATCATAATTGATATATTATGGTAAAGGTAATGGATATATCATAATTGAAATATTATAGTAAAGGTGATGGATATTTCATAATTGATATATTATAGTAAAGGTAATGGATCAATCATAATTGAAATATTAAAGTAAAGGTAATGGATATATCATAATTGATATATTATAGTAAAGGTAATGGATATATCATAATTGATATATTATAGTAAAGGTAATGGATATATCATAATTGATATATTATAGTAAAGGTAATGGATATATCATAATTGATATATTATAGTAAAGGTAATGGATATATCATAATTGATATATTATAGTAAAGGTAATGGATATATCATAATTGATATATTATAGTAAAGGTAATGGATATATCATAATTGATATATTATAGTAAAGGTAATGGATATATCATAATTGATATATTATAGTAAAGGTAATGGATATATCATAATTGATATATTATAGTAAAGGTAATGGATATATCATAATTGATATATTATAGTAAAGGTAATGGATATATCATAACTGATATATTATAGTAACGGTAATGGATATATCATAATTGAAATATTATAGCAAAGGTAATGGATATATCATAATTGACATATTATAGTAACGGTAATGGATATATCATAATTGACATATTATAGTAAAGGTAATGGATATATCATAACTGATATATCATAGTAAAGGTAATGGATATATCATAATTGGTATATTATAGTAAAGGTAATGGATATATCATACTTGATTTATCATAGTAAAGGTAATGGATATATCATAATAGATGTATTATGGTAAAGGTAATGGATAAATATCATCATAGATATATCATAGTAAAGGTAATGGATATATCATAATTGATATATTATGGTAAAGGTAATGGATATATCATAACTGATATATTATAGTAAAGGTAATGGGATATATCATAACTGATATATTAAAGTAAAGTAATGGATATATCATAATTGATATATCATAGTAAAGGTAATGGATATATCATAATTGAAATATCATAGTAAAGGTAATGGATATATCATAATTGAAATATTATACTAAAGGTAATGGATATATCATAATAGATATATCATAGTAAAGGTAATGGATATATCATAATTGATATACTATAGTAAAGGTAATGGATATATCATAATAGATATATCATAGTAAAGGTAATGGATATATCATAATTGATATATTATAGTAAAGGTAATGGATATATCATAATTGATATATCATAGTAAAGGTAATGGATATATCATAATTGAAATATCATAGTAAAGGTAATGGATATATCATAATTGAAATATTATACTAAAGGTAATGGATATATCATAATAGATATATCATAGTAAAGGTAATGGATATATCATAATTGATATACTATAGTAAAGGTAATGGATATATCATAATAGATATATCATAGTAAAGGTAATGGATATATCATAATTGATATATTATAGTAAAGGTAAAGGATATATCATAATTGAAATATCATAGTAAAGGTAATGGATATATCATAATAGATATATTATAGTAAAGGTAATGGATATATCATCATTGATATATTATAATAAAGGTAATGAATATATCCTAATTGATATATTATAGTAACGGTAATGGATATATCATGATAGATATATCATAGTAAAGGTAATGGATACATCATAATTGATATATTATAGTAAAGGTAATGGATATATCATAATTGATATATTATAGTAAAGGTAATGGATATATCCTAATTGATATATTTTTAGGGAACTGTTTCAAATAAATACATTACAAAATGATACTGTACCTGGTCTAAAATTAATTGCACATTTGTATTTTAAAAACCGTTCTCATAACTGTTTTACACCGTGAATCAGAACGAAGCTAGGAACTTAAAGTCGTAACGGGAAACTTCTATTTTTAAAGAATGGTAGGCGTTTATCAACAAAATATCCAGGGAGTAAGCCTTAAGCATTACATTATTAAGCCTACTGTATATGTATTTGACAAATGCTGTTCATTAGATACAGTTTTTTGATAAGTGAATTGGGTTTAGAAGCGTCCTGATTTGCGGAATATATATAAGCCGCGTAATTTCTATGCAGTGTTCTGATTGGTGCAATTAATTTATGCAGGTCCCTGATTGACTATCGTATGTTTCTGTAGCGTCCTGATTGGTGTAATCCTGTTGATGATGCTGATAGGCACGACCTATGACGTGTTGGTGTTCCAGTGGGGTCCTTGGTCACGCGCTACCCTTGTGGATTATCCATTGACAAGTGAACGAAACATATCTGAGAAGACACCTTTAGTTGGTGACCATATACCATCGGCCAGTTACGTGGGTGAACCAGGTGAGACGCAGAAGGGAGATGAAATACTACATAATTAAGCATACATTAAAATTACCGTGCTAGATATGTTTCAAGTTTTATACAGGTTTCCGATTGCAAATATATCGTTTTGTATCTTTTAATAGTTTGTGAAATCAGTTAAAAGAACATAAACGAATTAATCAATTAATTCACTAAAATAATTATATAAATAAATAAATAAATAAACAATCAAATACTTACCGGAACTTCTGTTTCTCATAGACGGAATACATCTGTAGAAATTGACTTCAACGAATATTACTTAATATTTACATTCTGTATGCTTAGACCCATTGACAAAAATTACATTCATAAATGCATAACACAGGTGTTCATAGAATCTCAGCACGTGGGAACTGATAGTAACCTGATCACACTGCGTAGTAATACACTACAAAAACTACTCACTCGGAACGACCGAACTAGATGCTTAATTCTTACATCTTAAAATATTATTGAACTGTGCTTTGTGAAATATCCACGTATTCACGTGTCCTGTGCTACAAATAAACATTGAATATGGAACTACATTTTGTTGTGTTATTGTTGTTGACGGTTGCTAAGATCTCTCACGATAGTGTCACATTTCCCCGCGAAAAAACACTGTTCTCGCCACTGCGTTGCACCCGTGTATAAGCAGGAACAAACCCTGTTTATTTGTTTTATTCGTTGTTATATCGATCCACTGAAAGGATTCGTCAATGTAAATATAAGGAATGATATTTATTTTTTCAACATTTATGAGGTCATAACAACAATGGGTTTTTGGACATATTTTACATGAATCGCTAACGCGATTCATTCAATATGTCCATAAACCCATTGTTGTTATGACCTCATAAATGTTGAAAAAATAAAAATCATTCCTTAAATAGCGTCAACAGCAACAATACATCATAACATTATCTTTTTTAAATATCTGAATTATTGCTAGATACTCGTAAATAAAACTGCACACTGATATACAACGTTTGGATATGATTGCGAAACTGTGGCATACACAGCACACAAGGCAAGCGGACTTATCTCCCTTGTGACGTACACGATACAAGCATTTATCTTAACGACCTAGCCTGCTCTACTAGGCCTCAACCATAAAGTTACCGTTAAATTACTTATCTTCGTGCGGGTTTTAATTTTGTGTGATTCCGTGGTTAATTTTCATCCACGAATTTATAGTTCAACGAGTAATTACAAGTTCGATATAAAGCAATTCTCCGTTTGAGTGGGTATTCGTAATATTTTTCTTTTCTCGGGAAACCACAAACTTTGGGACCCACAATTTCATAGTATTTTGTTTGCTCTGCGCGCATTATGATGTTTGTTGCAAAGCTGTGTCATTCAAATAGATCATAAATACTATACAAAAACAGCGCAATGCTTAAATATCATCAAAATTGCAACGGAATATGAACCAGATGTGACAGAAACAATGACATTCTGGTTAATGTTTACTTGATGATAAAGTTGTTGATATTGTCCAACGCAGTCATATTGTACGGTTTGCCAGCACATGGTCACATGATCACAGGCTAATTATAGTGCAGATTAGATTTTAGCCATTGGCAGCGGTGTAAGAGGTGAGTGTAAAGAACGACAACTCTAGATCTGGGCATAGATTGTGACTACCGGCTGTCGAAGTCAAAATCTACACTCCCGCTGGGTAGCAACGAACGGTGTTAGACTAATGCGTGAGAAAATAAAATATAGTAATTTATTTAATTGATATTTAAAAGCATATTCCTCGTGCGTGTGCAGTATAATTGATTATCGGCGTGGTGATGAATCTCCTGGCATCGCTATTTTATCAATTATGTACTTCTGTTGAGGCGATATTGGGATCATATAGAAGTGAACAATGATATTGACCGAGACGAAGTCGAGATTGTCGTCTCTTACATGTTCATCTAACCTCCTAAATACAGAAATATAAGTCCTTGATTGTTATATTAAGTGTGGAATGACGCTTTATTCTATCATTTTATACGAGATACATATGACAATCCTCAAGAGAAAACTACTGCATTTGTCGGAATTCACTAAGAAGTTGTGACGTCAGAAAGAGAAAACTGACCTGTTCTTTCTAAAAAAAAAGTAACATCGAACCGTATCGCATTCCAATTACCGCCCCGTTTTTATGATTCATCTCATGATGAGGTAGGAAAAATGGGTGCCATATAAAATAAGATGATATCAGTTATACAGGAGAAATATGTAAAAACAATGTTTTGCTTCCCTGACTAGGTATGTTTTTTGGTTCTTTATAGGTATTATAGGCCGGATCCTGGTTGCTTTCTCTGTCTACTCGAATGGTGAGAAGCTTCTTAGTACCAAACAGGGGCCTGGTTCTTTAACAGCGGTCAACGGCATCCGGGTTATCAGCATGTTTTGGGTCATTCTAGGTCACTCCTACGTCTTTCCTCAAGGCGTTGCAAGTAAGAACGGGGTTATTGTACCTAGTGAGAATAGGGTAAATGTACCTAGTGAGAATAGGGTAAATGCATTGTGTATAATAATTATGAGGTTAATTCCATCATTTCCAAAGCTCTGAACCTTGCATCTGTTTAATGTACTTTTTCACTTATTGTCCGATAAATACAAGTTCCGTGATATTTGCATTTCTTTATATAATTTTGTTGAATTCATAGTAATTGAAATTTGTATGATTGAACTTCATTTTAAATCAGAAAAGGGATTGTTTCCGAACAACCATGTGTTTAATATCCATCGATGTCTGACATATCTATGATTCGTTTGTAGACAATTATGGAGATTTCCTGAGCAAAATGTCAAAGAGGGAGTCCTTCCAAGCCATTATGAATGCCCTTGTTTCTGTGGATACTTTTTTTGCTTTGAGGTATGTTTATCAAGGTATCAATGTCGCTGAAACGTATGTCATACAGTATATAGATATATTATGTTTGCTTGTCATACAGTTTATAGATATATTATGTTTGCTTGTCATACAGTATATACATGTAGATACATTATGTGTATTTGTAAGATGTTTTATGTATACACACAGGAGGCTATTTTACATGTATGTCGTTTATGACTACCGTGTGGCAGTAAACAGCTGACAGACAAACTACTTACTCTTACTTACTCTTACCACACAAAGTTTCCAAAGATGGAGATTGATAGAGACTATAGACACATTTTATGATTACCATCTTGGCCTCTATGCCTTTTCGTTGTGTGATATGAAGTTCGATGAAGCAAAAGACGCGTACCCTTCCGGGACGCATGGTCTTATTATCATTGTACATTTGAAGGGTTTCCTTGTAAATCTTTCCTCTGCTCACATTTTGCTACTTTTTAATATAACTCATGCTTAAGCCTTGCCTTATGATATATATTTTCATCATTAAATATCATCCCGTCATAGTCGTTTGTGTGATATTTATTTGTTTGCAAAGATAACAACATAAATCTAAAACTATATAAAGGATTCTAAAACATAATAACTCGGTCGACGATTAAAGGAATAGTTACACCAAAACAGAACGTAAAACATCATATTTCCGTCAGAACTAATCGTAGTACAAATAAAATGGGTTTTTGAAATTCCTTCTTATTCAAATGTCTTTTTTTTCAGTGGACTTCTGCTTTCCTATTTAACCTTGCGTGAAATGCAAAAGAACAACGGGAAGATAAATTGGGCGATGTTCTATTTCCACAGATTCTGGAGGTAAGTACATTGTACACTGTATATTAATCATATGTGTCGTACGTAATCTCTTACTGACAGGAAATGTGTGGGCTAGGTTTAACAGCATCACTTCCGGTGTTGGTTGTATAAGACGAAATCAGGCAATCGATAATGATTGTGTTTAATTTATTTGCAAACTGCTTCAGCCTGTGTTACAGGGTATTGACACAGATCTGACTAAACATTGTGTTGATACAGACCTGACTAAACAGTGTGTTGATACAGACCTGACTAAACATTGTGTTGATATAGACCTGACTAAACAATGTGTTGATACAGACCTGACTAAATAATGTGTTGATACAGACCTGACTAAACAGTGTGTTGACACAGACCTGACTAAACAGTGTGTTGATACAGACCTGACTAAACAATGTGCTGATACAGACCTGACCTAACAGTGTGTTGATACAGACCTGACTTAACAGTGTGTTGATACAGACCTGACTAAACAATGTGTTGATATAGACCTGACTAAACAATGTGTTGACACAGACCTGACTAAACAGTGTGTTGATATAGACCTGACTAAACAATGTGTTGATACAGACCTGACTGAACAATGTGTTGACACAGACCTGACTAAACAGTGTGTTGACACAGACCTGACTAAACAGTGTGTTGACACAAACCTGATTAAACAGTGTGTTGATATAGACCTGACTAAACAGTGTGTTGATACAGACCTGACTAAACAATGTGTTGATATAGACCTGACTAAACAATGTGTTGATACAGACCTGACTGAACAATGTGTTGGCACAGACCTGACTAAACAGTGTGTTGACACAAACCTGAATAAACAGTCTCTTGATACATACCTCACTTAACAGTGTGTTGATACAGACCTGACTAAACAGTGTGTTGACAGAGACCTGACTAAACAGTGTGTTGATACAGACCTGTCTTAACAGTGTGTTGATACAGACCTGACTCAACAGTGTGTTGACACAGACCTGACTAAACAGAGTGTTGATATAGACCTGACTAAACAATGTGTTGACACAGACCTTACTAAACAGTGTGTTGATATAGACCTGACTAAACAGTGTGGTGATACAGACCTGACTAAACAGTGTGTTGATACTGACCTGACTAAACAGTGTGTTGATACAGACCTGACTTAACAGTGTGTTGAAACAGACCTGACTAAACAATGTGTTGATACGAACCTGACTAAACAGTGTATTGCATAAACTCCTGACTTTCACCTCGTCTCTACAATTTTTTTTAATTCATTTAGAAGATATAGCACTCTTAAATCTGCTTTATTGCATTCTTAAGATGAAAATTTGGAAAGATAGACTAGAAGATGAATTCAGCTAGAAGATTCTTAAGAAAAGATAACGACTGGTGACCAATCAAGTATGTATCATATTTTTCAAAGACCCATTCTTGTTTACTGCTGACTGTCGTGTGCGCGTTATACACCTTAGACTCACTCACGGTTTCACGAATCTCACCTGCCTACATGGTGCTGTAGAACGCATTGTTTTAGACCACTTCTACTTAAGTGATGGTATAACATATATTTTTGTAGACTCACTCCTGCCTATATGATGGTCCTCTTTGTCAACGTGAGTCTAGCACGGTACTGGGGTGATGGACCTCTATGGCCTAAAGATGGATTTGAACAGAATTATTGCGAAGACACGTGGTGGAGAAATCTGCTTTATATCAATAATATGTACGACTTTGGTGGAATGGTATATATTTTTGTATCATTGTTATTGACAAATATATAAATAAATATATTTTTTCTATTACGTTACTACTGTAACAACTGGAATACTACGCCTGTCTAAATCAGAAGGCGAACCTTACCTTGTTTACAAGTATATTGCATGATCATATCTTTCGTAATACTTTATGATTCAGCTCGTAATATTTCCTGTAAATGTCACTGGAACGCCCTTTTTTGTTTAAAAAATTGGGCTTCTCTGACAAAATTCAAAATGGATTTTTTTTTCAAATATCGTGATATTTTCTATAAATGAATGAGGTGCAATAAAATATTAACTAAATGTAATTGAGTGGGATTGGAAATCTGTAACATTCCAAACCTCAGAGTGTGCTTCGGTGGGGATAATGTCACATAATCGTAGCCCTCGACTGCGATAACCCGATCTCGCTTTGGTAACGTTAATATATTGAATTATTCTTGTATCTATGACAAGGAAATCTTATCCAAAATTATGTAAATGATTGTTTTTACATGTGCATTATTAATATAATAATTATAAAATGTGTCTATTGCTCTTACGTGACACTACTTTATGACTTTACGTCCATAATACACTGAAAACACACAGGGTTAAAATGCAAATGATTTAAAAACAAAATCAAGGACAAATGTTTTATTTTTCACCAGTGTATGAGTTGGTCCTGGTACCTGGCTAACGACATGCAGTTCTTCGTCCTAAGTCCTCTGATGCTGATTCCATTATATCTGTGAGTTTATAGTTCATCATTAGACTTCGTCCTAAGTCCTCTAATGCTGAGTCCATTATATCTGTGAGTTTACAGTTCATCATTAGACTTCGTCCTTAGTCATCTGATGCTGATTCCATTATATCTGTGAGTTTATTGTTCGTCATTAGACTTCGTCCTAAGTCATCTGATGCTGATTCCATTATATCTGGGAGTTTATAGTTCATCATTAGACTTCGTCCTAAGTCCTCTAATGCTGATTCCATTATATCTGCGAGTTTATAGTTCATCGTTAGACTTCGGCCTAAGTCATCTGATGCTGAATCCATTATATCTATGAGTTTATAGTTCATCATTAGACTTCGTCCTAAGTCCTCTAATGCTGATTCCATTATATCTGTGAGTTTATAGTTCATCGTTAGACTTCGTCCTAAGGCCTCTGATGCTGATTCTATTATATCTGTGAGTTTATAGTTCATCATTAGACTTCGTCCTAAGTCCTCTAATGCTGATTCCATTATATCTGCGAGTTTATAGTTCATCATTAGACTTCGTCCTAAGTCCTCTGATTCTGATTCTATTATATCTGTGAGTTTATAGTTAATCATTAGACTTCGTCCTAAGTCCTCTGATGCTGATTCCATTATATCTGCGAGTTTATAGTTCATCGTTAGACTTCGTCCTAAGTCATCTGATGCTGAATCCATTATATCTGTGAGTTTATAGTTCATCATTAGACTTCGTCCTAAGTTCTCTAATGCTGATTCCATTATATTTGTGAGTTTATAGTTCATCATTAGACTTCGTCCTAAGTCCTCTGATGCTGATTCCATTATATCTGTGAGTTTATTGTTCATCATTAGACTTCGTCCTAAGTCATCTGATGCTGATTCCATTATATCTGGGAGTTTATAGTTCATCATTAGACTTCGTCCTAAGTACTCTGATGCTGATTCTATTATATCTGTGAGTTTATAGTTCATCATTAGACTTGGTCCTAAGTCTTCTGATGCTGATTCCATTATATCTGTGAGTTTATCGTTCATCATTAGACTTCGTCCTAAGTCCTCTGATGCTGATTCCATTATATCTGTGAGTTTATTGTTCATCATTAGACTTCGTCCTAAGTCATCTGATGCTGATTCCATTATATCTGGGAGTTTATAGTTCATCATTAGACTTCGTCCTAAGTTCTCTGATGCTGATTCCATTATATTTGTGAGTTTATAGTTCATCATTAGACTTCGTCCTAAGTTCTCTGATGCTGATTCCATTATATTTGTGAGTTTATAGTTCATCGTTAGACTTCGTCCTAAGTCCTCTGATGCTGATTCTATTATATCTGTGAGTTTATAGTTCATCATTAGACTTCATCCTAAGTCCTCTAATGCTGATTCCATTATATCTGCGAGTTTATAGTTCATCAATAGACTTCGTCCTAAATCCTCTGGTGCTGATTCTATTATATCTGTGAGTTTATAGTTCATCATTAGACTTCATCCTAAGTCCTCTAATGCTGATTCCATTATATCTGCGAGTTTATAGTTCATCAATAGACTTCGTCCTAAAACCTCTGGTGCTGATTCTATTATATCTGTGAGTTTATAGTTCATCATTAGACTTGGTCCTAAGTCTTCTGATGCTGATTCCATTATATCTGTGAGTTTATAGTTCATCATTAGACTTCGTCCTAAGTCCTCTGATGCTGATTCCATTATATCTGTGAGTTTATAGTTCATCATTAGACTTCGTCATTAGTCCTCTGAATGCGGATTCCATTATATCTGTGAGTTAATAGTTCATCAGTAGACTTCGTCATGATTCCCGTTCCACTGTCAAAAAGTGTATTAATCCACTGGAAACCGATTTTACCAGCAAGACTATAACTTTGATAAATCATTTCTCCAAAAAATAAATAAAAAATAAATACGAAATAAACATAAAACCATCAGTGTTCTGATTAAAACAATTCAACGTGAATCGAAACCTGGAATTCAGATGATTTTACAACCGCTGTAACAGAATGATCTCCCGGTCAATGGAAGTGTCTTCGCCCTATTGCGCTACAGTTTCATCCACACGGAAGTTAATGGGATATACCTGTTTATAAGATAAACACCTAATTCAGTGGGACAGGAGTCCTGAAGCTGATCTCGTTATATTTGTGTTTTTTTTGTTTCATTAATTAATTAGGTTTACAGTGATATGTTCCTGTTGATACATCACTGTAAGCCATTGATGGTGATCCCAATACAACCATTAGTTCATATTTTGGCATTAACCGACTTATGTGTGAATTCATGTTCAGTCATAAGTCCTCTTACAAGTGTTGATACAGTTGGGTGCAAACTTAACTCGGTACCCTAGTGCAATGGAGTTAACCAGAAACGTGAGCTCCAGCGCACAAGCTTTGCCACTAGAATTTACACACTTGTGAGAACTGGAGATCACATCCATGTGCATTGGGTTTAACTACAGTGCATTATTGACTTGGATCCGCGGTACATGTATATACACCATGCATTGGTGGTTTGAAGTTTATAATAATTGACTTATAGATATATTCATTAAAGTTAGTTGATAGTTATAACAGTATTACATCTTCATAAAATATTTTAACATATCTGTATGTTATTGGTGCATTATAATAAATCATAAGTCTTGTTTAGGTCAAATGACCAGCTCATACATGTAGGTAACTACATGTATATGTTATGAATTAGAATTTGACTACGTGAGCATTTTAAAGTGCACTAGATCCCAAGTTAAGTTTGCTCTCAACCGACCAACATATTAATATATTAATATTTCATCATCGCCTGTTATACAAAATGCATTTGAAAAAAAATCGTCATCATGTGTAGAGCAGTTTCATGAGTCGAAGGAATCCCCTGATCATACATGTATGACGATATAATTATGATAATATATTACACCAGCATTTTCTATGTTGATATATGTAAATGTATATCTATGAATTTATCTTCATTAGAAGATGAAGTTATGTAATACCTTTAGGATCCCTGTACCAAAGCCAAAAACTTCCATTATGAATTGGAAACCTATTTTTCAGTCATAACTTTGTAAAACATTTCTAAAAAGAAAACCATAGCTTACGGGACGTTTATAAAAAAAAATCATAAAAGTAAAAATTAACAAAAGAATAACTACAGTAGTCTGCGTGTCAGAATCAGAAACAGACTCAGCGACGTTAGACCGGGGTTTGAACGAAACCCTGGACTTAGATTGTTATATAATTTCGCTCTAACCGATTTAATTATCTGGTCAATTGAAGCGGTTTGGAATAAACTGTGTAACAGTTATACCCGGAATGAAATAAAGGGGAGGTTACTGTATACACGAGTAAAACACAGTGCAGTGGGACAGAGAGCCGTATTTAACATCAAATACATATGTAACAATGTATAACATGACGGGTGCTATTTCAGGTCGCAGACCATTGGACTGGCAGTGTGTATTATTTTTCTATTGGGGACCATGACAGCCACAGGTGTTATCACGACTAATGAGGATTTACCTGTGTCCGGCTTTTCTCCGTCCATCTCTGACCCATCGTAGGTTCAAGTTTCATATTCAAATTGGATTTTTTAACACCTGTACAATTAACGGTGGCAAAAATCGCATGATTTTAAGTTTATACTTACAGAATGATCATATAAAAGGTTATATGTATAAATAAATAAATAAATATAAATGAATTGAACAGATTGGTCTAATTAACAGTACCATGCTAGTACAATTTATAAAATACTTTAAAGATGATAGCTTTTTTGGTATCCATTATAACTCACTTCTAGCAAAACATATATATTGATAAAAGTTTACCATCTTCTTCTTCAGCAAGCTGAATGCTTACTTCGAAGAATATTACATCAAACCCTACTGCCGAATGGGCCCATACATTGTCGGAATAATGACAGGATATGTTTTGTATAAGACCGAAGGAAAATTCAGAATGAATAGAGTAAGTGTTCATTATACTACATTTTGTACGAACGATTGACAAAAGAAACTAACGAAGAAATTATGAGAAGCTAAATAAATATGAATTAATTGGTAGGCAACTATTAGCTTTGCAGACACATAATTCGACAAGTTAATTAAAAAGTTATTATCATTTTTATTTGTATGTGTTACATTCGTGCCGTTTTGAAAATAACTATGAACTTTTCATTCAGGCATTGAATTTGCTGTGTTGGATAATTGCGGCAGTATTAGCGTGTCTGTGTCTATATGGTCTGTACGAGGAAAACAAGGGAACAGCAGATTTTAATACAGAAGTTCGCTCCCTTTACAACACTCTCCACAGGAGCGTTTGGGGAGCATGCGTGTGTTGGGTGATATTCTCATGCGCAAACGGATACGGAGGTATGTTGTTTATGGTAACATAGACATAAAAGAGAACATACTGGGACTTTGTTTTGTTTGGTAGTGTATTCACGTTATCTTAAATCAGTAAAGTATTCAATTCGGTAGCAAATATCTCTATTCGGGTAACGATATAAACTTAACAAATTTTCAGCATTGACAACACACTATCAGGCGTATATTTCTCTACTGAAAAGCAAAATCAAGGCCATCCGTATGAATGATTATTTATTAAGGTCTATAACTGTACAACATACAAAACAGTAGCGAATTACTGCAGACTTGATTTAAACTGATCTTCTATTCATTTTGCTTTTGTCTTACATATGTAACATACCATTTTTGATAATTGATATTTTACGCAATCCCCCCTCCCTTGACAAGCAATATTTCTAACTTGGCGCCACCAAAATTAGTTCACAATTCAAATAGAAACACGATCATGAATTGTTTTGGATCATAGTTTGAAACTAAATAACTTCCCTTGTCTTCGTTGGGTGTAAATATATACATTATATGCCATTATTTCACTAAATAATCTTTTGTACAATTCAGTAAAGTTTAAGAGTATATATATAATATGCGCATAATTTCTGCCAAGTAGGAATGTGAAGAAAATAAAAATAAAAATAATGGAAATAATTAAAAAAGACGACAAGCATGCCAATTGATTGTATGTTTTAACGGGTTTAACGATATACATACTTAGATATGTGTTCCTAATACAGGTAACTAAAAGCATTTCAGAGGTATGTCCATAAAAATAATGGATTTTATTAGAATCTTTATGCTAATCAATAGAAATAAACAACTATTTCGTAGATGTGATATAAAACTGATGCTACTCGTCATGCAATGTACTGTAGTTTACCGTATTAGAACTCGTTGAAATGTAATCGTTCCCCGTTAATCGATTGTTTTGATCAATATCATAGTTTATATACATTTGTAAATCGGCCAGACTACATTTATCATTATTCCTAAGTCTGTGTCATAGTAGAATATTGATAAAAATATGATTAATTCGAACAAGAAACAATAATAATTTGCAATAGCATATTATTTTTTCTACTTTTTTTCTTGGAAAAAATGTACATGCATACAGTTAATATAATTCACTATTCTCCAACATACGACCAACAAAATTCAATAAAAAGGGAATCATAGGAATAATACTATAATCATTTGCGTTTAAGTGCATATCAATTCGTGTTTCTGTTTTATATTGCAGGTTTTGTGAATCAGCTGCTGTCGTGGAAGGCGTTCCTACCCCTTGGTAGATTGACTTACTGTGCCTACCTCGTACACCCGATTGTCCTGTACTGTTTTATATACAACCGTCGTGTCTCCCTTTACATGGATGACATCACAATGGTAAGATATCATGTTCACTAAATAATAACGCCGTTGGTATTTTACATCCCAATGCAAAAATGATACCGGGAGATCCATTGTGTTTTTTATCATCTGGGCAAGGTTGTTCAAATTATTGAGGTTAAACTTTATTTTGTTAGTTTAGTTTTTAAATAATCTAATTATATTTAATCCTTAAAAAGAGGATGTATTCTAACCCTAATAAGTGTAAAGCAGCATTGGAAAAATCATTTAATATTTCTTTTTGCGTCAAAATTTTAATTTTAGGTCACATCATATTGATTAGGCCCCAGGTACATACACATCATAACGAATGGCCAGAACATCTTTTCTTGGAAATCACTTATGATTAATATATCCTGTTCGTCATGCTGACATTTTCGATATAATGTGTTATCTTAATCTAATCTTGAATATATTTAAAATGAAGCTTTCATTTGATTGATTTTTCGACGATTGTTTTACATTTGCAGGTGTACATTTTCCTTGCCACTCTTGTAGCCGCATATTCAGTTGCCTTCGTTGTCTCCCTTGCATTCGAATCACCTATGATGGGCTTGGAGAAGGTCATATTTAAAAGGAAACAACGATAGTTAAAAGGCAAGCACTGCCGCAAACAATGCAATGTTTGGTACAGATAGTGTACGGGCAATAAGTTTGATATTATGACATGGGATGTAAGGACTTTAATCCATACCCCGTGTGCGCCAAAGACAGCAAAATAACACTTGTTCACTGTTTTTGTGTGTGTTTTCATATAGAGATAAGTAAGGCATGTATCAGATTGTATATGAGACAAAAGTTCTAATTAAAGTGAATATCGAATATTTGTATCCTTGTTATTGACAGGAAAATATGAACGTTGTAGGAACGATGCAAAGAACAGTTTTCTGGTTGAAAATCTTATCTGAAAGCGCTATTAATTAGATATTTTAAGACAGTTTATGCCTCGTTACTGTCCTGTTTGATGACATAGCTTTATTCCGTCTTTGCGTATTGCAGAGTTATCTTCTCTTGGGAGCAGGTATTGATTGTTACGTCATTGGTCTGTGTCGTCGTTTTCTCAAAAAGTGATGACGTTTCTCTCATAAACAAGTGACGTAACAATCAATACCTGCTCCCAAGTGAAGATAACTCTGCAATACGCAAAGACGGAATACAGCTTCCTTCGATACCACGGTGGGGGAATAACTGTCTATCCTTTTTTTAGATAATTTTCACGTATCTGTATTCATATACTTAACTCAAATAGTATTTATGCATTCAAATTTAAGTACACAATAAAATTGTAATACGGAGAAGCGCACTAACAAATGTATATCTTAACCGTTTCTGGATGAATTGAGCAGTATTGACATAACTGTTGCATTGATCTACTACTTATGATGTACTTGAACTATTTATTTATATGTATACGGTTTATTGTAATCAGACATGACTCAACACGTATGACTCCGTTTATAATAGAAATCTTATTTTAACCATGAAACAACAACAAAATGAAAAGAAACAAAAAGCTCGCCTAACGCGAAAGTATTGCTCTTAAAACATAATGTACCCAGAGGAAAAAAAATCTGGTCTGGTTTCATCACAGGCACACAATACCGTTTTGAGGGAGATCGGGTAAGAACATCATTTTGCTTGTTAAAATGAATATAAACAAGGAATTTCATTACCCAAAACGGAAATGCATTTTAATGTGGCTCAGCGCAGGTTGAAAATACGTATTTTCTTAAAAAATCATCTTGTCTTCAAATTTGTTCATTTAAATACCTATTTTCAACCCCAGGCAAGCCCCATTGGAAATACATTTCCGTTAATTTCGGGTATTGAAATACATTTTTATCACGTGTACAATGTATGTAAACAAACAAAACTGACTTTCCTCACCCGATCTTTCTCAAACTAGCTGTGGTTTAATGCGATGTTTAAATCTGCAATGGAACAATGGTGACAACAACCATATATCATTCGATCCTGCTTTTTTATGGGATTTTCATTGAAATATTCAGCTGTGTATTTAACAAAGAAACATTTAGTTACTTAGAAAAGTTGTTAATTTCATAACGTGAGGAATCAAATGCTATTTGCAGCTCGTCCTAATTATTAAGTCTATCATTCCCCTATAGCTAGTTGATGGTTTAAATACCTAGAGAGCAACCCAGTTGCTTGCCTGCCGTTGATAAACTAAAACAGAAAGACCATACATCTCTTTCTACCTCTTGCATAGGGTGATTACATGCATATTTTGACGTGGTACTTAATCTTAAGTTTCCATATATAATTGTACACATGGAGAGATTGATTCCGCTTAACAAACCGTGTGTGGCAACACATTGACATTTAAAAATATTGATTATTTTAATCGCCGTAGTTTCGACATGTTATCTTGCGGTTTCCTGTGCTTTAGTGACCCCCCACACACAAGTTGGTAATCGCTATGTTGCACCTATTCATCCTAAAAAGATAACATTTTTGATCTGTCAAGATGTAGTCAAGATAAACAAAGAAAGCCTAGGTGTTAACCGGAAAAACGTGTTCAAACAGTTGATGCTATAGTTTTACTTTCACTTTTGGTTAATTGAATTAATATCCATGCATTAAATTGCATGTAAAGCTAGAAGGTTCAGGGATCTCGCTAGACAATACAGTCCACTGTAGTTGCATACATATACAATCTCCTCTTAATTTTGTTTTGGATGTAACTGAAATAAGACCGGGTAAGGTCACTGACCTCTTTTATCATTTGAGAACGATCAATTTGTAATCGGAGTTTAATGTTTCAAATCCCGTTGTGTTTTTTTTGCTTTTTACTCTCGAGACACTTTTGTTAATTTTTTTTTTTTTTTTTATTTTTTTTATTATTTGTTATTAAAAACAGTTATGGAAGAGAAAAGATTAGTTTAACTTTTTGCCATAGCGGTTAAAGAAAGCTTTAATACATTTTAACTGTTTTAGGCAGTATACGTGGAATCTTCACCGGTAGAGATCTTACTGCGGTATCTAATTCAGCATTGGACTGTTTTTGTATGGTATTTATGATCTATTTGAATGACTCAGCTTTGCAAGCAAACAACATAATGCGCGCTAGCGCACTATGATTTGTTTGCTTGCAAAGCTGTGTCATCCAAATAGATCATAAATACCATACAAAAACAGTGCAATACTTATATTTACGTTTTCTCTGCCTCTTATGTTCTTTTTTAAATTATATTCTATATTTAGAATTAAAAATGCCCGCCTTATCGACAGTCCACACAATTTCGTTCAATAGTTTGAACAGCGTATTGTCGCGTGCTGATTGGCAAACAAAGTAGTATTTTGAAATTTTAACAAACACTTCAATTTTATTCCACAATTCCGTATCAATACAATTGCGTATGATATGTCTATAGGGAGATTTAAGTTTATCAATAGAACTCTGAGCTGAAAGCTAGATTTGAAATTGTTTCGATTTTTCCCCGGAACAAATTTCGCACATTGACAAATACAGTGAACACCGTTAATCCGACCTTACCCTCCACAAGGGAGTTATTTTTTGAAGTTAATTCCTTGCCATCCTTGTAGCCGCATATTCAGTTGCCTTCGTTGTCTCCCTTGCATTCGAATCACCTATGATGGGCTTGGAGAAGGTCATATTTAAAAGGACACAACGATAGTTAAAAGGCAAACACTGCCGCAAACAATGATATGGGATGTAAGGACTTTAATCCATACCCCGTGTACACCAAAGACAGCAAAATAACACTTGTTCACTGTTTTTGTGTGTGTTTTCATATAGAGATAAGTAAGACATGTATCAGATTGTATATGATGAAAAAGTTCTAATTAAAGTGAATATCGAATATTTGTATCCTTGTTATTGACAGGAAAATATGAACGTTGTAGGAACGATGCAAAGAACAGTTTATCTGGTTGAAAATCTTATCTGAAAGCGCTATTAATTAGATATTTTAAGACAGTTTATGCCTCGTTACTGTCCTGTTTGATGACATAGTTTTATACAGCTTCCTTCGATACTACGGTGGGGGAATAACTGTCTATCCTTTTTTTAGATAATTTTCACGTATCTGTGTTTCATATACTTAACTCAAAAAGTATTTATGCGTTCAAATTTAAGATCACAATAAAATTGTAATACGGAGAAGCCCACTAACAAATGTATATCTTAACCGTTTCTGGATGAATTGAAGAGTATTGACATAACTGTTGCATTGATCTACTACTTATGATGTACTTGAACTATTAATTTATATGTATACGGTTTATTGTAATCAGACATGACTCAACACGTTTGACGCCGTTTATAATAGAAATCTTATTTTAACCATGAAACAACAACAACTTGAAAAGAAACAAAAAGCTCGCCTAACGCGAAAATATTGCTTTTAAAATATGATGTACCGGGAGGAAAAAAATCTGGTCTGGTTTCATCACAGGCACACAATACCGTTTTGAGGGAGATCGGGTAACAACATCATTTTGCTTATTTAAATGAATATAAACAAGGAATTTCATTACCCAAAACGGAAATGCATTTTAAATGGGCCTAGCGCAGGTTGAAAATACGTATTTTCTTAAAAAATCATCTTGTCTTCAAATTTGTTCATTTCAATACCTATTTTCAACCTACGGCAAGCCCCATTGGAAATACATTTCCGTTAATTTCGGGTATTGAAATACATTTTTATCACGTGTACAATGTATGTAAACAAACAAAACTGACTTTCCTCACCCGATCTTCCTCAAACCAGCTGTGGTTTAATGCGATGTTTAAATCTGCAATGGAACAATGGTGACAACAACCATATACCATTCGATCCTGCTTTTTTATGGGATTTTCATTGAAATACTCAGCTGTGTATTTAACAAAGAAACATTTATTTACTTAGAAAAGTTGTTAATTTCATAACGTGAGGAATCAAATGCTATTTGCAGCTCGTCCTAATTATTAAGTCTATCATTCCCCTATAGCTAGTTGATGGTTTAAATACCTAGAGAGCAATCCAGTTGCTTGCATGCCGTTGATAAACTAAAACAGAAAGACCATACATCTCTTTCTACCTCGTGCATAGGGTGATTACATGCATATTTTGACGTGGTACTTAATCTTAAGTTTCCATATATAATTGTACACATGGAGATTGATTCCGCTTAACAAACCGTGTGTGGCAACACATTGACATTTAAAAATATTGATTATTTTAATCGCCGTAGTTTCGACATGTTATCTTGCGGTTTCCTGTGCTTTAGTGACCCCCCACACACAAGTTGGTAATCGCTATGTTGCACCTATTCATCCTAAAAAGATAACATTTTTGATCTGTCAAGATGTAGTCAAGATAAACAAAGAAAGCCTAGGTGTTAACCGGAAAAACGTGTTCAAACAGTTGTTGCTATAGGTTTACTGTCAGTTTTGATTCAATAGATTATTATCCTTGCACTACATTGCATGTAAAGCTAGAAGGTTCAGGGATGACATCTTACTATTATGTTAATGACATAAACAAGTGTTATACACCGATTCTCTTAAGGACCCCTATCTCGCTAGACAATACAGTCCACTGTAGTTGCATACATATACAATCTCCTCTTAATTTTGTTTTGGATGTAACTGAAATAAGACCGGGTCAGGTCACTGAACCCCTTTATCATTTGAGAACGATCAATTTGTAATCGGAGGTCAAGATTTCAAATCCCGTTGTGTTTTTGTTGCTTTTTACTCTCGAGACACTTTTGTTAATTTTTGATCTTTTGTTTTTTTACAATTTTTATTATTTGTTATTAAAAACAGTTATGGAAGAGAAAAGATTAATCAAACTTATTGCCATAGCGGTTAAAGAAAGCTTTAATACATTTTAACTGTTTTAGGCAGTGTACGTGGAATCTTTACCTGTAGAGATCTTACTACGGTATATGAATATGTTTAAAATGTGAAATGTGCAAACATACATCCTCGGTCCTATGTTTAAAAACGGAAGTGCGATTTGCACTTGCTGGGACTGAGAATAGAACAACGCATGGTGACATATCTATAATTAACACTTAGTGTTAGACTCAGAATGTTAGTATGCTATTGTAGGTTTTGTAGGTATTGTAGGTATTGTAGATTTCAGTATTAGCCAATCAATATCCGGTCTTTTTATTTAAATTTTCGTTAACCGTGTCATCATTAGACTTAGAGCAAGTTAGGTTTTCCTAAAATGGACATCACAGTTAAAAACTTTATATATCACTAACAACAAAAATATGTTTGGGGGAAGACTAAGCTGGTGGATTGTTTTAGTCCCCGAGGTTTGCCGTGACCTTAGTAGCCACAGTAATCTGTTTGGTGTATTGGAACGGTACACAATTTAAACAATTTGCTCATTATTATGTTGAAATCAACCAGAATTCTTTTAATTATTGAAACTCTTGATAATAAGGCCCTTCTTAGTTCCGCCCTTTTTGTTTCTCCATTAATTTCGGACAATTTCAACTACAAACTCATTTGCCCCTAGTATCACCAATGAGTTCCAAAATATTTTTTGGAAACCATATCTAAAACCATTATTTTCAAATGTGCAGTTTTGTGTAAAACGTTCATCTAGCATAATGTTAAAAAATAAGAATTTCCAATACTGTAAATTTCTGCGAGAACAAATCACTTAGAATGGACGTATGTAGATTATGTTTTAAATCGTTTAAACCCATTGAGACTTGTTTGTATCAACCAGTATTTTCCTTTTGTCAATGGAGGTCAGACGGGTCCTTATTGAATAGAAAACATAAGATAACGGTCATACTATAAATTATGGTCTAGTCTGTTTTGTTAAGGTCTTGCATCATTAGGCTGGTCTGGTCCTATCTGAATGGTGCCGCCTCATGGATAGGATACCACATCGTATTCTATTTTACTTTATCTTTTTTTTCATATCACTTCATATAGAAAACATAAGTTAATGTCAATACATCCATATTTTGTTTATTGAATCGATTGATTAGTCTGTTTACTGTAAATCTAATATGTATGCATCTTTGTAGCCTTTGTCTTAATCTGTTATCCGATATCTTTGAACAATCATAAGACGTTGTGGAAAGGATGGGCAGCAGCACCATGGGTAACTTGCCTCTTGTACCAAAGCCCCTTTATTATGGTGATAGGAAAAATAATATTTTGCATACAAAATTAAGGAACCGTTTTAGTACTTTGAAAAGTGACCTGTTTCGTGTTAACCTTTTTGATTACCAACGTTGTATATGTGGCTTCCCTATTGAAGACACACACCATTTCTCTTTTACCTGTGATAAATATAACGAACAAAGAATTAAGCTTTATCGTGAACTGAATGAATACATGCCTCTTAATTTAAATCTACCTTTATTTGGAGATACATCTGTTTCGGAACAGGAAAACATAACGATATTCATGCATACTCAGCAATACATTCGTGACTCTAACAGATTCTAGTACCCCCCCCCCCCTTGTCCCCTCTCTCCCTCTCTCTCAATTGAACCATAATATCCACTCTCTCTAAGAGGAAGATACTATATGTCATACATTAATAATGATGAGGATGTATGTATTATAATTACAGACTATTATCCCCCCTGTCTCTTCCCCCTTCCCCCCTTTTCTCTCTCTGTCTCTCTCTTATAATTTCAATTTATAAATTAAAGCATTTAAAAATGAAATAGTGTATATATGTATATTAATTCTGCCATCTTGTTGTACTATTGTAAATATATGCTTGTAATTTGCTGGGAAAGGGCTTAAACTAAAAAGCAGCACCACAAAACACTCATTGTTGATACATACCGCTACATGTATTAATATTGGCACAGCCACCTTTCTCAATACACAGTTAAACATGTCTTGATTTGAAAGAAATCGATGAAGTAAAATGTCAGGTTTAATTCAGAAGTCAAATGAGCTATATCTCTCCATCGGAGTAGCACGCGTGTACCAGTGAAGTATGTTCTAATGCCATACCTTGTTTAGTTGTACGCTAAGATAACAAAATCTTTCTGAGACCAAAATGACCTACAGTGTACAGCCCATCCTCGATACTCCAGAGTTACGCTCACTTTCGCTCTTTGCACCCCTGGAATATATGGCAAAGCAAAATTGAAGTCGTGTGGTCAGCATTTTGATTGGTTTCAGAAAACAAAACCTGACCAATCGCTAGGCTGATACCTACCCTTAGAAGGTTTCAACGGAGCGACACCCACTGATACGCCTAAGGAAAGAGGATGCCTGCAACCCAATATATTGCATCCACTGTGACCATTATAACGAAATAATAGAACGACCGTATTCGAGGATCTGAAAAACCCGTCAATCCCAAAGGGTCCCAAAGCACCGAACGATTGTACGAATGCACTTAAATGAAAAGAAAACGATCCCAATGTCAAAGTTAAAGTTACACACATACAGTATATATGTGTGTGTCACTTAATCTGTCTGTAACATATATGGTAAAAAAAATGTTTAAATTATACGTATATAAATTCAGTCCAGAGAGTACAAATGGTGAAAAAAGGTAGACAGATTTAGGTTTCTGTAACACACTAGTAAATCCGCGGACCAGACAACAACATGAGGTTTGAATGAAATCTCACATTAGTTTCCTTATTCAGAGGAAACAAGGGGCCAATATGTATATCATGAACATAAAGATGTCAAGACAAACAAAAGTCATTTACAGCGGTAGTCCTTATTCCCTGCTGAACGTGTAGGATCATATCAACAACCAGCTTACCAGATGTGTGTTTAATATGACCGGGTGAAGTGCTATCGGCGTGGTATTTCTAGAAATTAGCCGCCCCGCAAACACCTACATTGCACACATGAGGGTGCGTCCTTAAGGATTCCCATACCACAACCAAAATGTTACAAGGCATCCATTATGACCATTGATTTGATAAACCGTTTCTGAAAAAATATGCATGAATTTTTTAGCAATAAAAAATGAGGTCGGAAAGATTCAAGGGAAGTAAATTAAAGTGGCCTAGGCGCAACACAGTCACTTTTGCTAGGAAATTAAGAAGAGGTTATTTACATGTACGAAAACGTACAGTTGGCCAGGAAACTTTGAATGACATCTGTTAATATGACACCAAACCCAATTATATTAAATCAAACAAAAAATGAAGGCGAAGAACTTGATATGGTAAACGTATTTGATTTTCACTTGAAAAGCACAATCATAACTGAATTGCAAATTGAGGAACAAAGACAACACCAATTTGAGGGAACATACACACAAAAACGAGGTTCTATAAGGAAAATTGAATGTAGAGATCCATTGAATCATTGTGTTTCCACTCACCAGGTAGGTCAATTGGTTAGACCCAACATATACAGATCTGAGTTCCAGGGTCATTGCCGTCATGTTTTTACTCAGAACAAATGCATTTTTATTCTTATCAATTATCGTTGTAATTGTTTTTTTAAAGTTCCACGAAATGTGTCTTTCTTAACAAAAACATGATTGATCAAAGCGGTCGGGTAAGCATATTGAAAAACAGAAGGTCGACAAATATTAATTAAATATTAAATAGTATAAATAAATATTAAAAAAAGGGTGATAATCAATATGCTTTCAAAAGAAACATATGAATTCTAAAACGTTTATCTAATGGACCTACTCGATTGGACAGGAGGTGTTTGTTTGCATTGTGATTGGATAAGAGGACTTCCGTTATTGTTGTCCAGACTGCCTTGGCAACGAACACTAGACACTTGTTATGAGGTCTGTATTATATCCATTACTGATAGCAGCCACAACACACGAGACGCCTTACAAAGGTATGTTAACAACTTCATCATTTTAGGGTACGATTGATTAAGAACTATGAATTCGGGTGTGTAATTGTATCTCAATGTACATTTAAATGTAAATACCTTGGTTTGTGGTACAAGTTATTTTTATATATATCTATTTCTTTTTATTTGCTCAAATGCTAATGTAGAATAACTGAATTTCATTCCCATAAAAAAGCACGGGTATTGGTTAACATTCGTATGAATTCCTTTCTATGTTGTAGACCAATATGAAATTGACGTGTTTCGTGCTAGCGGCAGTGTTCGGAACCGTCGTTTGTAAGTTTCGACTTGTAAAATATAGCTTTGCAAGAAATTCATGTTTTATTTTTAATTTGGATAATTAAAACATACAGGTAGTTTGTGAATATTTAACAGTCTTTTCTGTCCAATTGGTATGTTAGCTATTAGTATATGTAGAAATATACTTAAAATTCTTTGGACAGAAATAGCAACAATATATATATATATTTGTCAGTGTCAGCCCAACCCAAAAAAATACAGAAATAAGTAAGATATCTTGTTGTTTTGTTTTTTTGTTTCGAAAATAATGATGAATGATTATTTATATGAAATGTATAACTATGTGTTATACTTGCTCGCCTGATATAAGTGATAAAGAAGATGTAGATTCAGTTTCAAAATAATGCTATAGATTAAGATTATGGCGAAATATAAGACAAGACAAACATTGTAAAGCACATGTCGCAAAATAAAACGATAACTTTATGTATAATGAATCAACATTGATGTAACACAATCGATTTAATACAGTGAAGTTAACATGAATCTGAAAACACGCTTGTGACGCGCGTTACCACTGAATTCACTATCTTATCAGGATTTCAAGCACAGGGACCAGTTTATTGGAGCATAGACAGCTTAGCGACAAAACAATTTAATATTTGTTTGCTCCAACATGTTATCAAATTAACATCTCCAATCTATGGTATTTTATCAAAAATTAAAACCATTCGTACCAAAGCATTATGAACAAAAATAAATTATAATGCTACCACATATTGCAAGATTTAAAAATAAAAACGGTTTTATGAAAATGTTGTGAAGCTAAGGTCTCGATAAACAACCTTGGCCAGCTTTGAGATTTATCGAATGCTAGGTCAGTAACTATAACAACTTTGACGGTTCTTATCGCTCGTAATGTCGTTTATATAAAGCCCTATTTTCTTCCTTTAGTAAAATCGTACCAAGAACTCCATCGACAAAGAAATGTTGTTATATTTAATGATAACGATTTATTGTTTATTTCGGTATTGATGCAAACATTTATTTATTTAACGGAACAGCATCGATCTTCCAATTTTTTCTTCTTACTACGTTGAAAAACCCCAAAGTTTACACAAAAAAGTAAACACTAAGGGTTGCCCAGAGATAATTAATATTCATAAATTGTTTCAAGATGGTTCTTAGGCCGGTAGTCTAGTGTTTATACAAGCATACCCATATCTTCGAAAGACCTATGAACTATTTTTTTCTATTTTCGTTCCTTTTTTTTTAAAGTGTCTGTTTTCTACCAATATCCACCAACGTAGATCAATTTAATAACCAATCTGAAAAAATGCATTTACATTATATTTGCTTGTTTGCAAAGATTGCAATCCACCCAATCCCAATTATTATTTCTTTACACGATAGAGTTATTACGATTGTCGGTTTGGTAATTACTCAATATATACGGGATGGCAAATGCCATATCTAAGTCGTTGAATTTGTTTGGTCAAGCCCATAAATGTAGTTTTATTTCTGTTCAATTTTCGGAGAACATTAAGGAATCACCATAACGTCATTCCGGAAATATAGAACGGAACTGCTTTCTAGTCTACCCTTAACACTAAGCGTACCTACAAGGCGTCCTGTCTCAATGTAACATGGTTTATGTAGGACTTTTGTTTTGTGGACCAATAGAAGAATGCATTTAGCTTTCATGTAAGGACTCGGTAGATATGGGGTATATCTTGCGTTAAGATAATGAACAAATTAATATGTATTTTGTAAATGTCCATGAAAGCATAAAAGGAAGGATAAGTGTCATCGACAGGATCAGCCATCTTATGTAATATATTGTGTGTGATATTGATATTCTACGCGAAGGTGAAGAATATGGGTCAGACTAGAGGAATCCGAAGTCTGAAATGACATCCGGCACCTGAGGGTAGAGAATCCATACCCCGTACACCTACATCATACATTTTCTCCTATCTTGTAATCGAAATTTTAGAGAAACACAACAGGCATTGTAAAAACTATGCTAAACATACACAATTGTAGCAAAATGTATCGATAAGGTATATAAAAAATAAGTTCATGTTTGAAAGTAAGGTATTATGTAGAACATAGGTTTACCTCACATTTGAAAATACCTACAAAACCTTCAAGGCAAGCCTTTGCAATAACTCGTATGTTCTATTTACTTGTTATTTGGCGGAGGCCTGAGCCGGAGGGAAAGGTTGTCAAAGTCAGTCAAACAACGTCTTAACGATCATTCGATTAAGCCGTCGTTATAAATGTCGCCATCTGATTATGACGTCAGAGATGTAAAGATCAGGGTATGAATTGAGCTGATATTTTATCATTATTGCCCATAACAGCCACAACAAACGATACTTATACGACAACAACAACGTCAATACCATCAACAACAGGTGCGCCTTCAACAACACCTCAAGCGTCGACCTCAAGTAGAGGTACATCTTCGTCTTCAATTGCAACTATAACTACGTCTATACCATCCACAACAAAAACTAGATCCCTGTCATCAGAAACAACCAAGACAACACCAACTACTACCTCAGCACCAGCTACAACTTCAGAACTTGCTGATACAACAATACTAGCTAATACAACAACACCAGGAAATACAACAACACCAGGAAATACAACAACACCAGGATATACAACAACACCAGGTAAGGTGAACAGATAACATATATATATATCAATATGTGTTGGTGAAATTATAGTAAGTCCCCTAAACACAGTTTTGTAATTTATTTGTTTTAATCCGTTCGAAGAATTCCTTCTTTTTCTTCTTCCTCCATTTTCGTTTACGGAACACAAGAAGGTGGATCTCTGAAAGATGGTATGGGTATTCGTGAATAAATGGTCCTGATACTCCCTTCTATACATTCACAATATCGACATGCATCGTTAAATACTTATATTTGTTCTTTGATATGTTCAATATCTCCTTTATGGGAGCATTATTTAATTCTGCTGTTCATTCAAATAAAGTTGAAAATAGAAAATGTTGCAGACAAGCGCGACAATAATTACACAAAGATGATAAGATCAAAGTTAAAGTTACTATAATAAAAAAGCCATACCGTAGCGTCATTACACAAGGAAAAGTCTCCAACTCATTGTCCATAATACAAATTACACTAGTAGTGCTGATACATCAAAATAAACTCAAGACAGGAAGAACTGCCATAACAAATATAACTTATGATAATATGCATGAGATATATATGCAAGACTCATTTAATGCGCGGACGTATATATTCACTCGTGCGCTCCGCGCACTTGTGAATATATATTCGTCCGCGCAATAAACCCGTGCTTTCTGATTTGTTAGAAAAACACAAGTGTGTGGTCTTGCTTTTATCACATACCTTCCGTATTTGGTAGAGATTGATACAAAGATTTTATAAACTTTGATATTTTGTGAAAATACCGGGAACTTTTCAGATCGCCATGACAAGGGGATTCCCATAAAAAGTAGTTCCGGCTAGTAGGTAAATACAACATTCCGTATTGCACATGTGCAATACAGAACGTTGTGTTTCATGGTCTGAAAGTTGCTTGTATTCTTATAACAAGATTCAACAGGTATGTGATAAATTGTGTAAATGAATAAAGATATTTTAATGCAACTGTTCATCACATACATGTATGACGTGATTTTTTATATAATAGATATTTATATAAATATAATAAAGAATGTTTTTGATATTGGGCTGTTTCACACATAGAAACTATAGGATATTTAATGAATTAATCGATTTCATAAAAGCAATAAAATATCCAAATAACAATACGGTTATAATATACTTTCACGCTGTAATATGTACGAGAAAACCATAGTTTAAAAAAATGATGATACAGTAATATCATTTTTTTTTTATAATTCAACACTATGCATATTTTTGTTAAGATTACAGTGGATCCACTAACTATGGGCTGTCCCCACTACTCCTGTTGTCTGGACTTATAATCACGACGTTCCTGTATTCGTGATTGGGACCTAACAGACAGAGTGGTTGATATTCTGATGACAGAGACTTCGCCTTATAAGAAAATGACGGATTACAGCCACTTTCAGTTTTAAGTTCGCAAGCAATGGATCTCCTGGCAATAAATGCTATATGATTGTACGTTATTATGCTGAACTGTAAATATGTTCAATTTAATTGATAGGGCTTTGGTAATATTAACTTCACATATGCATAAAGTATACCATTGATAACTGTGTTAGATATATCGTGATTTTGTCCATTGTATGTATAATACATTGTATTTCAAATGGTGCACTGTATGTCGAACATTGTCTACGATTAATTTTGATTTCACTCGCTCACTCACTCATGCAACCACATACTTATACACTCACTCACTCATTTACCCGCCCATTTACCCACGCATCCACTCATCCACTCCTTGATTCACTCACTTATCCACTCACCCACTTATACACCTACTTATACACTCACTCACTCATTTACCCGCCCATTTACCCACCCATCCACTCATCCACTCCTTGATTCACTCACTTATCCACTCACCCACTTATACACTCACTTATACACTCACTCACCCATTCACTCATCACTCGACATTCACTTCTATTTGACTTATAATGTTCCAGAACGTGTTTATTAACAAGTATGTAGAGTAAAGGCTTAAATCTGGGTAAAGTCAACGCTTCCAAAAAAAAGAGTTAAAGATTAGTCTACCAACGACGTTTTGTAATCGTGTAGGTGAAAAGTAAAAAAATCATAAATGTCTCGTCTGCATATTATAATGAATTACTTGATTTGAACGTTCAATATATAATCTGTATGATTTCTTTGCCTATATACTAGCATATACATTTATGAAAAAAAACACTTATTTTTGGGGGATAAACTAATTGCAAAATTATTATTGATATATAATCGAAATTTCGATATGATTATTTTGTCGCCTTTGGACTATGTTCGAAGTAGTATAGATATTGAAAAATGAAAGTTATAGCGATTTGAATTAAGTCAATAATAGTCGTTTCATTATCATTAATATTTGTTTATTTATTTACTTGATTTTACGACAAATTTTTCCGTTTTTGCAAACTAATGTTTTACCTAAAAAAACTTGTTAACGTAAGGGGAGATAATCGTTCAGTTGCCAATTTTGTAAAGGTTTGTATATACTGTTGCTAGTTTCAGGAGCCGTAGCTCGTTATTATCCGATTAATCAATATTTAAAAAAGGTTTTAGTATCATCTGACTTAAAAGGATTGTTTCAAGATTATTAAAATAGTACGCCTTTAAAGTAGAATTAATATCGTTGCGCTATGGTGGAAAAAGCCCATTCGGACACTGGCACGTCATTCGTTAATTGTAATTACAGTTTTACAGTATTACAGTTGTAAGAGGAAGTATGTACAGACTATTCATTATTAGGATACAATCATAATTGATGGCAATTGAATTGCTGTTTTAACTAATATATTATTTTAAATGCTTTTAATAATTAAAATTGATGCAACCAAATTTGTGTGTTATTTTGGTTCGTACAGTACGTTGCTATATTGATTACATCATTTAAAGATTGACATTATCTAGGGACCATTTTATGGCATCAAAGATACACTTTGTTAAAGAAATAAGAAAGAGAAAAATATGATTTAAACCTTGCGGAAATCGAATTATTACCGTAGGACATATGCTAGGTAATGCTCCGAAATATTACCGTGGGACAGATGCTAGGTAATACTCAATTGTTTTACCGTGGGACAGATGCTAGGTAATACTCAAATGTATTACTGTGGGACAGATGCTAGGTAATACTCAGATGTATTACCGTGGGACAGATGCTAGGTAACACTCAGATGTATTACCGTGGGACAGATGCTTGGTAATACTCAAATGTATTACCGTGGGACAGATGCTAGGTAGTATTCAAATGTATTACTGTGGGACAGATGCTAGGTTACACTCAGATGTATTACCATGGGACAGATGCTAGGTAATACTCAAATGTATTACCGTGGGACAGATGCTAGGTTATACTCAGATGTATTACCGTGGGACAGATGCTAGGTAATACGCAGGTGTATTACCGTGGGACAGATGCTAGGTTATATTCAGATGTATTAACGTGGGACTGATGCTAGGTAATACTCAGATGTATTACCGTTAGACAGATGCTAGGTAGTACTCCGAATTATTACCGTGGGACAGATGCTAGGTAATACTCATGTGTATTACCATGGGACAAATGCTAGTTAATACTCAATTGTATTACCGTTGGACAGATGCTAGGTAATACTCCGAATTTTTACCGTGGGACAGATGCTAGGTAATACTCAGATGTATTACCTTGGAGCAGATGCTAGGTAATACTCAGGTGTATTACCGTAGGACGGATGCTAGGTAATACTCAGATGTATTAACGTGGGACAGATGCTAGGTAGTACTCAGATGAATTACCGTGGGACAGATGCTAGGTAGTATTACCGTGGGACAGATGCTAGATAGTATTACCGTGGGACAGAGGCTAGGTAGTATTACCGTGGGACAGATGCTAGGTAATACTCAGATGTATTACCGTGGGACAGATGCTAGGTAGTATTACCGTGGGACAGATGCTAGATAGTATTACCGTGGGACAGAGTCTAGGTAGTATTACCGTGGGACAGATGCTAGGAAGTATTACCGTGGGACAGATGCTAGATAGTATTACCGTGGGACAGAGTCTAGGTAGTATTACCGTGGGACAGATGCTAGATAGTATTACCGTGGGACAGAGGCTAGGTCGTATTACCGTGGGACAGATGCTAGGTAATACTCAGATGGATTACCTTGCAGCAGAGGCTAGGTAATACTCAGGTGTATTACCGTGGGACGGATGCTAGGTAATACTCAGATGTATTAACGTGGGACAGATGCTAGGTAGTACTCAGATGTATTACCGTGGGACAGATGCTAGGTAGTACTCAGATGTATTAACGTGGAACAGATGCTAGGTAGTACTCAGATGAATTACCGTGGGACAGATGCTAGGGAGTATTACCGTGGGACAGATGCTAGATAGTATTACCGTGGGACAGAGTCTAGGTAGTATTACCGTGGGACAGATGCTAGATAGTATTACCGTGGGACAGATGCTAGGTAATACTCATGTGTATTACCATGGGACAAATGCTAGTTAATCCTCAATTGTATTTCCGTTGGACAGATGCTAGGTAATACTCCGAATTTTTACCGTGGGACAGATGCTAGGTAATGCTCAGATGTATTACCTTGGAGCAGATGCTAGGTAATACTCAGGTGTATTACCGTGGGACGGATGCTAGGTAATACTCCGAATTATTACCGTGGGACAGATGCTAGGTAGTACTCAGATGTATTAACGTGGGACAGATGCTAGGTAGTACTCAGATGAATTACCGTGGGACAGATGCTAGGTAGTATTACCGTGGGACAGATGCTAAATAGTATTACCGTGGGACAGATGCTAGGTAATACTCAGATGTATTACCGTGGGACAGATGCTAGGTAATACTCAAATACTCGATTGTTTTACCGTGGGACAGATGCTAGGTAATACTCAGATATATTACCGTGGGACAGATGCTTGGTAATGCTCAGATGTATTACCGTGGGACAGATGCTAGGTTATACTCAAATGTATTACCGTGGAACAGATGCTAGGTAATACTCAGATGTATTACCGTTAGACAGATGCTAGGTAGTACTCCGAATTATTACCGTGGGACAGATGCTAGGTAGTACTCAGATGTATTAACGTGGGACAGATGCTAGGTAGTACTCAGATGTATTAACGTGGGACAGATGCTAGGTAGTGCTCAAATGAATTGCCGTGGGACAGATGCTAGGTAGTATTACCGTGGGACAGATGCTAAATAGTATTACCGTGGGACAGATGCTAAATAGTATTACCGTGGGACAGATGCTAAATAGTATTCCCGTGGGACAGATGCTAGGTAATACTCAGATACATTACCGTGGGACAGATGCTGGGTAATACTCAGATGTATTACCGTGGGACAGACGCTAGGTTATACTCAAATGTATTACCGTGGGACAGATGCTGGGTAATACTCAGATGAATTACCGTGGGACAGATGCTAGGTTATACTCAAATGTATTACCGTGGGACAGATGCTAGGTAATACTCAGATGTATTACCGTGGGACAGATGCTAGGTAATAATCAGATTTTGTAAATAGGCCAAAATCACCCCTATGTGTTTATCTGACTTGTCGGATCGCCCGAGTTTCTTGTCGACGTCCCCGAATCAGCCAATGATCACTTGACGGCTCCAGTTATAAACAGCATTCTTTGTGCTGATTGAAACATTCACTTCTGTTTCAAATTTAGCATATAAGAGGAGAAAACAATACTGGTTTAGAGAAAATCATTTATTTACAATAACACTTGCAGCGTAAAACTTTGTTCAAATGTTAAAAGTCTGCCGAGTTCAAATTCTCCTTACTCAAATTATCCTTACCGTCCGGCCAATCATTCGGCATTTAATATCAATTCCAATAAAATATTGTTGACTTTTAAGCAGCAAAGTTTATATAGACTGTCGTATTTAAGTGTTGTTAAAATAAAACAAAAACATATGCTTAATTTACAATTTAGATTAAAGTAATATTTCCTTTGCATCAAACAAATTCTCCCAACTAAATCGCGACGTTATAGCACATGCAGATTTCATTCACACAAACAACTGCCAACAGTTCACTGAGACATGTCACACAGTATCGTCATCGTCGGAGTCAGTTATTGGTAGGATTCGTCGGTTTTTCCTCGGAGGTGAAGTAACGTGAGAGGAAGTAGATTGGGATGATAGTCGAAATGAAATGTTAAGTGTGCCGCCAGTAATATTCGCCCCAGAAAGCATCCCCGTGGTAAGATTTTGATAGTCTCCAGATGAAGTTTGAACAGGTGCGACCACATTTTCATTCCTGGAATGTCCTACTTCACAACGAGACAGTGTTGATGATGCAGGTTTTGATGACAGAGATGTTCATTTTTACGCTGATGATCCATAGACCCCACTGCATACTTGTTTACACTGTTTACATGTTTGTGGCCACTCCACTGCATGATCGTCGTCGGTGCTACGCCAGAATGCAAAAAAATGTGCATAGAGTTTTTCGGAGGAATAGGTGTTTTTTTCTAACAAGGCCAGGATTGTTTGCCATTGTTTTCAACATCACAGAAAGTTTATTTTTCCAAACTGGCTGATTTTTAAACCACTTTTTACCGTTCTCGTTGTATCACCTAGGTTTGATACAAACTGACAGAAAACATCAACAGAAAGTTGTTGTATTACTGTTGTAAGATTACATAGGTACAATGTATGTGATAAAGAGGTGTAACTGTACAGTTGTTTACATATGTTTAAGTAATTTCCAGGTTAATTAACTTTGTAGGGTAACTGCGTTGATCTGATGCATTTAAGTCAAAATAACTAATTTGAATACCAGATTTCTGTTTTGATTAATTCTTTGTTCTGATCCCTGTACGTAGTGCATACGTATTGTAGCTGCTGCTCCCATTGTGCATGATCGTAAGAGGCAACTAAATTTGGGATCTTATCTTTTCTCTTCTTTCTAAACAACTTTCTTCTTCCTAATGTCTCCCTTGATAATGTCTCACTTTTAACCTTTAGTTGAGCGTTCGCCCCTGTGAGGAAGGCTTTGGGTTCTGTCCCCTGGCCGAGACATACCAGAGTCTGTAAAAATAGTATTTTCTACTCTGCTAAACGCTCAACAATTTAGGAGTGGGACGACTGGTTCGCCCGTTGTCAGTATTATGTGACCGGGTGGGGTGTCCCGCTGGGTGTCTTCGACAGTATGTTTCAGTGAGGTAGCACTATAAAGTCGGCATCAGTTCCGCGCTATTACAAGGAAACAAACACGAACATATTACAGCCTCCCAAAACATACACGCCATACACTACATGCATGCATCTTGCAATCAGGGAAGGCCGTCCTTAAATGACCATAGTTGTTGATAGGACGTTTAGCAATACTAAACCTTCTGTAAACAGTCCCTTTCACATAAATAAATGTTTCAGGCTGTAAAGAATAACAAGGATAATACGCATTATTTAAAAATACAAAACAATGTTAGAAGCGAAAATGTATTACCTGTAAAAAACAATTGCATGGATAGTGATGCAGAGTAACACTTAGAAATATCAACGATTCATTATCCCAGATAGTGTAAAAATAACTTTTTTGTGGTCCATAATTTCGATGGAATTTCTCAAATAGACTTTAGGTCTAGTATCCAACACAGAAATAGCTCCGGTACATGAATGTTCGTATTTGCAATTAATTTCATCAGTTTTATTTTCGTGGAGTAAAAACGTTTCCGCGAAATCGCAAAAGCTATGACCTCCGAAATATCAACATTTGCATTATATTAACACAAAAATGTCGGAAGTCTCATCAGCATATAATTAATGGTTTTGTACAATGAAAGAGAAAGGGAACACTTTAATA